GAAAAAAAAAAAAAAAGGTTGTAACTCATACTAAACAAAATATTAATGGATATACCGCTGGGAACAATCTGCACTGACCCCTGGGCAAGCAACTGCATGAACCCTCAAGCCTTGTCCACCTCTAAAATACGGGATGCTCAGAACCACATGTGATTACAAGAGTCTTTATTGAAACATCTCTCCCTTCCTCACCCAGCTGCCTGCGGCAAAAGCATTGGCACCACACCATAACCTAAGCACTGGACAGTTCTTCTGACTCAGATGCTTTCAAGGGAGCAGCTCCCCGAAGAAACACAAGGAGGCTGGGGTCTTCTCAGCATCTTCCCCCAGCCATATTATCCTGACAGTTTTCTTTCTTTAAAAGCCGAAAGTCAGGGTAGAGGGACTCAACAAAATCATACTCAAACTGGTGCATCAAGGTCACATCATCATAGGTGACCCCGTAAAAGGACAAGGTCCTACTGGGGTAGTTTGGGTAGACGCCTACCCTACCAAACACATCCATATTGAGGGGCATCTCCACATCACTGTGCCATGCAGAAAACCCTTTCCCATTCGACACGATGCTCCAGGAGAAGTTGTTTCCCGAGGTGCAGCTGTTGCTTTCTGAACCTGTCTGGTCAATGCTTCTGTACATCATGCCAGGGTAAACATCAGCCCCAGATATCTCAACCTCAAAATAGTAGTGGCTAAAGTACAAATTCTTGTCAGACATCACTTGGCATCTGTGTGTTCAAATCCTTTGGGATGATCTGGGTACAGCTGTTCCCATGGAGCAGTGTTGGTCACTTTGTCGTTGTCTCTGGCTCTGCATCACATCTTAAGGGACACAGAAAAATAGAAAACAGTGTTTTTGAAACATAAGAGAAACCTTTTTTACTGTGAAGGTGGTCAACCATTGGAAGAGGTTGCCCAGAGAGGTTTTGGAGTCTCCATCCTTGGAAATTTTCAAACCCAACTGGATGTGGCCCTGAGCAGCCTGCCCTAGTTGACCCTTCTCTGAGCAGGGGGGCTGGACACAAAACCCTCAGAAGTCCCTGCCAACCACAGCGATTCTGTGAAATGGTTTACAGGACCTATCCAGGAGCATTCTCCGTCCTGATTACCCAACATATGAGCTTTGTATTTAAAGTCTGCACATAACCACAGGAGCATTTTCTGTGACTGATGGAAGCTACAGTCATGCTAGGCTTCAGCCATGCACAATAAAAGTAATTAACATGTGAAAAATCAAAGGCAAACTATGCAAGACACTCAGGAAAATTAATCTGAATTGATTTTTCAAGTGGATTAAGATAAGCCACATTAAACTGCTTTGTACCATTTTTAGCAAAATTAAAATAACCATGACAGTTTAGTTCTCCTTAAATGAATGAAAGTAAACTGAATTCCTTGTAAGATTCTCCTACCAAGGAGTTTAATCCATAAACCTTTATTTAATTTGGATTTTCTTTCCTAAGTGTCCTTATGAGTCTAAGCCAGTCCCTGAGGCTCTCTCTGCTGTCAGTGGAAGGAGACAGACACCTCCAGAGCATACTGAAGGTGTGTGTCCAAGACAGGTGAGATGGATTTCACTCTGTATCTCCAGAAATCTCTTACCAAACTCCACCTCCCCCTAAAAGGCAGGTCAGTATTAAAACCATCGAACCCAGGACATACACTTGAGGAAATCACTCCTTGTCTTTGGTTGGGTGGCAGAGATGTGATGGTTGGGTGGTCCAATTGCAGGCACCATCATTTTGATCAAGCAGATCTTTTCAGCAATAAAAGGAAAGAAAGCAGTGATTGCTGCCCCAGCACTAACCACGGGCCGTGGTACCTGGAGCTCACACACTGTGGGGACAGGGCCAATGGTCCCTGGCTGTGCAGGACCAGCTCCTCACGTTGTCCGGAGGATGAGGACCTGTCAGCCAGTGCTGCAGAGGTTTCATCCAAACGGGGGATTTTGTAAGCACATGCAGATGTGGGGCCTGATTCCAGTTTCATGCTGGGCAGCACCACATCAGCCTCTCAGCACTTTGGGACACAACCTGGGGCTCGGGGTGCTCTGCACAGCACCCCTGCTTCCTCCAACCCACGACCACATACAATGACAGGCAACAGAGATCAGAAAGGACTCCCCGACCCCGGGATCTGCAAGCAGTTCATGCAGAGCCGGACAAGAAGCGAGAGGCTGCATGTCCCACTGTGATCAGACACACTCTCATGCCGCCTAGAGGCATTCGAGCAGTTTTGCAGGGCTGCCTCAACTGCTGTTTTTATTAGAAATTATTCCTGCCTGAAAACAGGAGAGAGGCCGGTTCAGCATCCTAAACGCACTGCAGTGCTGGTGCTTGAGCCCCCATCTCTGCTGACATTTGGGGTGCAAAGCACTTTTCAAGAGTGACCCCAGCCAGCAGAAGCCCTTCTCTTCATCACTGCTGGCACCTGGTAGTTTTGCCTTTGCTGAGGAAACCGGGCTGATATACATAAACCGGTGAGATTTATGAGGCTCAGCCACATTACCTTGTGTGGGTGCAAACTCAGCCAGTTTATATCTTGCTGCTCGTGAGATTTCTACCTGGGACTTAAAAGGAGCCAGGATAGGGACACCGATAAAGCTCAGGCTTCCCACTTACTAAATCATTATTGGCTGACTGCTGCTGTTTATCATTCTAAAGAAAGACCAGGACAAAGCCAAAAGGGGGAGGCATAAACCCCTGGTCTTTCTTGCCCTCTGCTCTAAGGTGGTGTTGGAGTGAGACCCAGCATCCCTCTTGGTCTGGGGAATCCCTCCCCTCTCCCTTTGATCATCCCACAACCTGCTAACGCCTCATCACAACCTGTCACTAAAGCCAGGCAAGAAACAGTGCTGTCAGCTCTGAAAACATCTTGTAATCACCACCGTTTTCCCATTCCCTGTCAAGATGAGACCTGAAATTATTCACCAGAAGATAAAGCAGAGTTAGCTCCCGGCCTGACCCCGGTCTCGGGGGACTCACCAGGACGGTGAGTTCATGCATCTTGTCTCGAGTGAGATGAGCAGGGAGTTTGGTCTCTGTTGCTCACACTGCGAGTTCATGCCCTTTTTATCTGGCTGTTTCTCATTCTCTCTAGGTCTGACAAGAAAGTCCCTCCTGGATTTGAAACATGTTCTTAAGGGAAGTTTTGTCAGGACTTCTGAAAAGTTCTAGTTTCAGCAAATCAAAAAAATTCAAGAAGTTCCTGTGCTTGCTGTCACAGCAGCCAGTGTAACATTGCAAATCCGAAGTGATGATCTTACCACAGAGGAAGAGCAGTATGGTGGGCTCTAGCCTGGCTCACATGCAATTTTCTGGGCCTTAGCTTTTTCCACTTGGTGATAGAACAGAGCTGTTCATAAGCAAGCACATGCCCTCAGGTGCAGCTTTGCAAAACTAAGTACAAGCAGATATCAGGCTCCATGATGACCCACCTGATTCGAGACAGTTTGTCCTTCAGCCCGATGTAAACGCTGGGAAGAGCATCCACCCCGGACCTCTTCTCTGAATTCACAGCACTCCTAGCCACAAAATAAACAAAAAGATTCACCTGTTTTAGGCTATGATACTGCGCATTGGAGGCATTTTGCAGGTAGGTATGGCACGCTACGGTGGTCAGGGCAGGCACCGCTCTCCTGACTCCCCATCCCTCTAGCCACTGTAATGGGAGACACCCCAGACTACCCTACTTTTAAGAAGAGGCACTTGGTGCTGTGAGCGGGCATCTTCTCCAGTTTGAGCTTGTTCTCAATGAAGGCTCGCTTGTGCTCTAAGTGGATCTTTATCCTGCTGATGTGGTTCATAGCCGTGCTCCCCTTCTCTTCCAGAAAGGCCACTACCTCCTGCTGGGCTGTCCCCACCGCCACCAGCAGCAATCTAAACCCTCCTGCAAGGCCTTCCACACCCAGGACAGATGGCTATGGGACCGAACTCACCTGTTGTACCATCCTTCCAGTTGTCTCCTGCTGCCATCAGCCCCTCTCCACCCCAGGGTACCTCCCCTGCCAACACTGGCACGTCCAATACCTTTTTGGAAAGGGAAAACTTATAGAATCATAGAATCATAGAATCATAGAATCATTGAGGTTGGAAAAGACCTCTAAGATCATCGAGTCCAACCGTCAACCCAACACCACCATGCCCACTAAACCATGTCCCTAAGCACCTCATCTACACGTCCTTTAAACACCTCCAGGGATGGGGACTCAACCACTTCCCTGGGCAGCCTGGTCCAATGTTT